TGAAGTGCTGATGTTTCAGAACCAATAGCCTTTATCAGTATTGCTACTTAACATTGCTTAAAGCCAGTTAGCAATGTTCTATGCCAGGACAGGTTTTCACAAGCAAGGGTTCTCCAGGTGGCATGCTGCTGAGACCCTGAACTTCCTGATAAGTCCTAAAAGCTGCATAACCAGCTTTCTAAACATTTTTCAGTTTATCTTATTTTATTTAATCTATGGTACTGGGGATGGTGTGCAATTCCACCCTTTTTGATTTTTTATTCTGAGACAGCATATTTATATTGTTGAAATATGATTCTCCATGCAAAATTTCTGCACTGCAAGAAAGCAAGCATAGCTGGGGATATAGCTCAGCAGTGTAAACATCTGCCTGGCAAGCACGGTCCCGAGTTCGACTCCCAGTACAAAAAAAAAAGGAGAAAAAAGAAAAAACCAAGCAAGCATATATCCTTCCTACTTTCTATGGGAGAGGGAAGCCAAGAACAAGGGGTTTAGGAATGGGAAGTTAGATTGGCCATGCTGGAGCCTCTGACATCTGAAGCTCCTGTTGCGATTTAACTGAACATTCTAACAACACTGCTCCAAGAGCAGGGTGTGGGATGACAAAAACCTTCTCTGAAGTCAGGAAGTAGAGAATTCATATCTCACATGGGAGGCAAGGCCATCTGGCATAAGAAGATAGAAGAAAGACAAGAAGCTCGAGGAGCATGGTAGACATCTACAACCCAAAAAAAGAAGGGCATATGAAAGGGCAGTTGCTCAGGTTTCTGCTGCTTTAGTTGACTGAGACCAAGAGTCTACCATGGTGTTGACGAGCAAAAGTGTGTTATTTCCTTCAACAGTGCTTGGATCTGATAAGTGGAAAAAGCAGGTGGTTGGGCTGCTTTCATCCTGCAGTCTATGGAGCAGATGCTATGAAAAGAAGCGCAAGTGATAAAGGTACAGAATATAGACAAGGCAGTGACTGAAAAGAAACAGAGGTCCTGGCTAAGCAGAGGCCACACCTGGGATTTCTGATGAGTTCAAGAACACAAGAGAAAAGAATGAGGACAAAACAATATGATGTTGTGGTCAAAAATTAGTATAGTGGGGTTTCTATTTGCAGAGGAGGGGGCATAGTTTTAACGATGCACCTAAATTGTAATGATAGACAAGCACTGAGGAGTGAAAATCACGTGAAAAATGGTGGCACTAAGGATGAGTCAGTCATTCACACGATGACTACCAGGACAGTAAAACGGAAGCGAGTGAAGTAAATTGGATGACGTTTTCACTGAATGAGAGCAAGGTCTAGAAGGACAGATGACAAGGTTCACAGACACCAGGTACCTCACATTGCTTTTGTGTATATTTCTGCTTGTGAGAGGAACAGCGAGTGGGAACTACAGGGCTTTTGTTGAGGACAATGTGGAAGAACAGGCAGCCTCATACGTGTGGGGACTGCAGAGGAGCACAGGCCTGGAGAAAGCCGTTTCTACTAAGAAAGAACGTATGAGTGTTTCGTTAAGAGATTAGTAGAGATGACCCAGTTTATATGGAGTTTTAGAAGGTACCGTGGAGAAGCAGGTGTCAGTACGTATGATATTACTCACAAGGTAATGCATCTGAGTGACCTTTGGCAGTAACAGTCTGCACCTGTGTACTCATCTGTAATAGGGGCAGTATCTGTCCCACATTCCTTATGAGATGGTGACGATGTAGTGAAAGTCAATGCACACGTGACTCATTACAAAGCAGTCTGAGTCATGATACCTAAATCTGGGCAAAATGTCACACTGTAAGTATACATGTGCATTAGAGATTATTACAGTTACAAGATCATTTAGATTTTTATGCCTTTTTCATCCAGTGTGAATCCATAACTGCCTTAAACCAAGAGAGGTAAGAAAATGAATCAAGGATGTCAGATACTAGGTTATCAGTCAACAAATTTGACAAATAGGTTCTTGTTAACCAAGGAAAAGGTAATTTTTTACTATGTGACCTTCAAAGAATTTCACATAAATATAGAATTAGCAAATCTTTTAAATGCTTACCAGTTAACAGATTTTGACAGCTATTAGTGAGTGACTCCATTGAGGTAGGATTATTTTTTTTTAAAAGGTAAAAATGAAATTGTGTTATGCACACTTTGACAAAGCAAAGCTCTAAGCCAGGGGCCAAGAAACTTTCTTAAAAGTGTCACACAGTAAAGATTTGTGGGTCATATGATTTCTATTTCAGCTACTACATTGTAATACAACACAAAAGTGATCCTAGAGAACACATAAATGAATGCATGTGACTGTTTCAATGAAGTTGTACTTATAAAAATAGGTGTGTGGTCAGATTGGGCCTACAGGGTGTTGTACATCAATGTCCACTAAACTTCTAATCCCAGGTCCAGCATTCTCAGCACTAAGCAGTTAATAATTTTTCTTTTTTTTTTTTTGGTCTTTTTCCTTTTTATCGGTACCGGGGATCAAACTCACGACTACCTGCTTTCAAGGCAGCCGCTTATGCCGCTGAGCTAAATCCCCAGCCCCAATTAATTTTTCTTAAAAAATACAGATGTTGAACTCAACCTATTTAAAGTATGACCCCAATATAGAATATAGCTGCATTTCTAATGAATAAAAGAGAAAAAGTAGTAGTAAATCCATTACTGTCCGGGAATAAGTGATTTTGACTAAGACTGAACTGGAATCCGAGAATCTTGGTTCTAGTTTGCACTGTTGCTTATTAGCTACACATATCGATTTTAGGCTAACTTCACATCTCATCTGTAAATTACCACAGTAGGACTGTAAGAGATTTCTAAAACCTCTTCCAGCTCCAACATCTTTTGATAGTGAGATTAAAATAGGGATAGTTTAGCAATTAAGTTGGTCTGTTTCTTCCTATTTTTGCTAGGTCACTTCTAAAAACTGCAAATTATGTATCAATTATTACATATTGGTCCTGTGTTGTGTATTTCTATGTATGGTGAGCTCTGTTTGTTGGTAATAAGTAGGTAGACTGACAATGAAGTTTCTCCTAAGAGCCAGAACATTTCACTTGTTGAGATCTAATATAGTAAATGTCTATAGCATTCTGAATAAAACAAGAGATAACCTTAGAGTATGACTTACCTTTCATAAACTCCAAACTCCAATTAAGATAATCTGGAATCTAATTATAATTAAATGTAAACCTACTATTTTGTATTTATCCTGAGGGGTTGTCAGTCTTAGGCACTAAAATGTACCCAAAGTATCCACCAATGCCTAAAAGAAATTCATCAGAGACCAACTTTCTCTTTGCAGAAAAGATGTGTTGGTATGCTATGATGCCTAAGGTTTGCCTCTGTGAACTACGTAAATCTCATTTCATGCTCAGCAACAGCTTTCTTGGCTTAAAAGAGTGTTGATGTAACAAAGGGAGAGCCAAAAGAGCCCATCACTAGAATTGAGTACTCTTCATGAAACAACTTGAGACCAGTCAATTGTGGAGGGCCAGTGCTGGTTAAGGCCTGTTTGTAAGACAGCTAATGTGGAGTTCTTTCAAATTTACAACAATCTTTAGTGTTACTGTGAATATACACATGTATTTTAATAAAATTCAAGTGCGGAAAAAGGTTCACAAAAATACATCTCTAGCTACCATCAGAGTATTATGTATCTAAAATAAACTGCCAACTAATGAGTGTAATAGGCAAAACATGTAAAAATAGAGGTGAATTTATCAGGCTATAAAAAAGAATTTGAAACAAGTATTCTGAAAGTACTTATAATGTATTTCCCTTGATTCCACATTAATGGAGTTATGGGAGCTCTGCAGCTCTGATCTTTGACTCTGGTTCCATACTCAGTCAGTCATTACAATAGCCAATATTTGTGTCATTCTATACCCATCTTGTCAATGTAACAGACACTATTTGTAGTTATGGAGATTTAAATTCAAGTTAAGTAAAATTCAATTCTGTAGACACACTAGCAATGCTTCAATTACTTATAAGCTACATGTAGTTTAGTTGGTGGTCACATAGATCTGGAAGACATTTATCGTTACAGGGAGTTCTAATGGGCAGTGTTCTTTTAAACAAAATTTAGAGCTTACGTGGCACTTGGAAGAAATCCTCCTTAAATACACCTGGTTTACACCTTCGGTATCACTAATGCAACCTCCCTTCAATAGGAATTAGGGAACTTTAGGATGAATCACCCAGGAAGTAAGTAAGTTATAGTGTTAGCTTTTTGTCTGTGTCCTTTTTTCGTATAGCTAAGAATATCTCTTTTTTTGCATTAGTTATAGGATCTTTACATTCTAAATCATTAGAGGTATTTTACTTTAATCTAACAAGCCTAAAACATAGTAGCTACCCATGTGTACCAACATAAGGCTTAGCTGATATAGGGGCATCATAAAATTGCTTAAAACTTGTAAGAAACTAAACCTTAGCAAAAAGCAATGTTGATTAAACAAAATTTTCATGTCTTAAATAATGCTTCTTTCCCATATTATTCCTAGAAAGTAAAAGGAACAGTCTAACCTCTGAAGGATTTACATGGTACATCTTTAAACTCCCACAAAAACTCAGACCAGGACTTCAAATCTGAATTATAGAAGTTTCCAAAATTGCTTGTTTCCAGACTGTCTTTCTTGCTTTCTTCCATGAATGAAGACTTGTGTTAAAAAATCAGATCTTAGAGAGGCCTATTTAACCTCTTTAATAACCATGATTTAGCCTCTTTAATAAGCAGCTTCCTCACAGTCCCAATATATGCCTTTATCTCTCTCAGAATGATTATTTTCCTCATCATTTCCACAAAAATTTCCAAGGATTACTCTTGTGTATAGCAGACCGTGTACAGAACAATTTTGTATGCAATTATTCACTGTTACACATTGCAAAGATGTTACTAGCATTTCTCCATTCAATTTTGGCATAAATGTTGTTTATGTTCTGATGAAAAAAACTGGGGCTTTTATCCTTTTTAATCATTAGTTTTACCATTAAATCACGAACAACTTGAAAAAAATCGATTTGACTTTGTTTTTAATTAAGTATTATGGTCACACACAAATTTGTGCTCATTTTGTACTTTTCCCACTTTAACTCTTCCAATAAGCTGGCAGGAAGCACCACTACAATCACACATACAACAGTAGTTTCAGTCTTGTGTTTTTAAATAGCTGTTTAAATACCATCTGAATAATAACTCGGTCTGATCCAAAGAATTCAAAAGTCTAACTTGCTATTATATCATGCTAACTTTTAAAAGGACCTAACTTATAGATCAACTATAAAATGTGAGTAATGTTAAATATTCTTTATTTGGTTTTATACATACACCACACTAAAAGGCCTTTCAGTAAATAAAAGGCAACACTTTTTAGATACAGGGAATTCTAATTAAATTGGCATAGTCATGACCAAAAATATAGACATTGCTTCTTGTCTTCAACCATTCCTTTAACGGGTTAATAAACACAAATTTAAACAGGGGAGTCTTGCTTGGTTCTGAGAATAAAGGATATCCCCAGTATTTAACAAGTTAAATAAATCTAAATATAAAACCAACTTTCAATAGGTTTTGAGATGACATTCTCAATCTTTGTGAAAAGTCAAATGTTACAATCAAACCCAACCATGTATTTAGAAAGGAAAAACAGTGATAGTATTTACTGAACCGGAATTACTATCAAAACTTGAAAAAAATATCCATTTACGTACAAGCCAATTTTACTTAAATCAGGACTGTTCAACAAAAATATTCTGCCAGCCACTCATGATCTGAATTCTGGTGTATGAGATCTATTAAATTATGGTACACATACAAAAGCCATGAGACATTTCTGTTCTGTAATAAATAAGGCAGTGACTATTACTCATTAGTTGCCTTTTTGAGGTAAGCTATTAGGTCTGCCCTTTCTCCCTTCTTCTTGATGCCAGCGAAGATCATTTTTGTTCCAGGGATGTATTTCTTGGGATTCTCCAAATACTCCATCAATGTATCCTCTCCCCAGGTGATGCCTAAACAAAAAAGAAATGTACCGCTTAAGCCATTTACACTCCTGTTACGGTCTACCGTACATTACACTCATGCAATTTGTGCTAACTTATTTAACAATAGCCCTCTTACCTTTGTTCTTGTTGGCATCTGTGTAGGAGAATCCAGGAGCCTGACCTGTCTTCCTCCCAAACAGACCATGGAGATTTGGTCCGGTCTTGTGCTTGCCTCCCTTCTCAACAGTGTGGCACTGGGCACACTTCTGTACAAAAATCTTCTTGCCTTTCTCAACATCACCCATTTTTAAACCTAAAAAAAAAAGACCCATCAGTAAGTTTTTTCCTCAAGTAACAAATAACAACTGAAACCAAAGATCACTCCAATCACTTAACTGCATATCTATGAAGTTAAGTACCAGGATAGATGAATCCTGTTTTGCTTAAAAGACTTAGAAAACTGCTCAATATAAAAAATACTACTTTGGAGAACCTCCTTTAAACGTTATCTGTGTACGTGGCACAAAGTTAAAAGCCTATGTAAACTAAATGGATACCCAGCTCAAACCTGTTTCCAACGATGAGGTCAAGGTCAAAAGAGTGACATGAAACGGAGTTTCAATTACATTAAACTAAAACCACCAAGATTCCAACTTTTAAGACGTTCTAATTACTTAACTGTGCTATAATCTAAAGCTACGTCTGAGAAGATAAAATCTTTTTTTTGGAAGATCTTATTTCTTTGAGCCTCCTTCACTCAGAAGTGCAGTATAAGTCACTGTAACTCGCTATGCTATCACTGTGAGGTGGAGTTGGACCGGACTATTACATTTTCCATCTCTCTGATCATGTGTGACCACGAGGTCACCATCCAAGTCAGTTTCAAGGAGACTAAGGAGCCCCACCCTTCCAGGATGCTTGAGCGGTTCACAAGAGAAAGATAGATAAGCCGGGAGTGGTGGCGAACGCCTATAATCCAGTACTCAGTAGGCTGAGGCAGGCAGATGGCTCCAAATTCGAGACCAGTGGGCTACAAAGCGTGCTCAAGGTCAGCTTTAACTGTATAGCGAGACCCCGCTCAAAAAACCGAACAAAGATACAGACAGAAAACAAAAAATGACCCCTTATAAAGCTTTTGCGCTAGAACGGAGGCTGTGAACCGCCTCAGCACGGGAGAAGCCGTGTCCCAGCAATCAAGCTGCCTACAGTCCTTGACCAGGTCCACATCTTGTTCTAGTTAGGGCTTTGTTCCACCCAAAGCCCTAAACCACCAGGTTCTAGTGGCCGGTAACCGGCTACCGGTAACCGGCTTCTGCTCCGGGCCCTACCCGCCCGGGTAGATTTCACTCGAAGATCCCGAGCTCTGGCCTCTCACAGCTCGCGCGCCTCCACACAGGGGGGCGCCTCTCATGGCTCTGCCTCCCACCTGCTGCGGCTTACGCACGGAGTGGTCACCGCTCTTTCCTAGTTACCACGAGGAAGGTTCCAGTTTAGAAGCCAGACGTCCCGCTCTCTAGCCCAAGGACACACGGATCCGCGACTAAGTACCGGTGTTGGTGCAACCACACTAGCTCTGTCCTTCCGCGGCCCGACGTACAGAAAAATCCAGCTACTACGTGATGACGTTTCCGCGGCTCATTGGCTCTGGCATCCAAAGTCCGCGCTAGAGAGCTGCGCGCGCATGCTAGCTAGCACGGTAGGTTGTACCGCTCTCGTGCCCTTTCTCCCAAGGCCTCTCTTGCCCGGCCCTTACGGCAGGCCTCGGATTTACGACATCAGGGTTGTAGCGGGGAATGAGGCGGTAGGGATGACGTCACCTGTCGGCTTCTGTGCGCCTGCGTGTGTGGGAGCGGAGGTGGGGCGGAGACTTCTGAGAAAAGAAAGTCGTCTTGCAGCTACAAAAGCTGCGTTGGGTCCAGTGTTGTAATGAGCTTTGAGGATATCATACGATCCTCGCCAAAGGGAGTCGCCCTGCCTTTGACTTACCTAAAGGTCTCCTGGCTACATGCTCTTAGCTGGCGACGTTTACCCTGCCTCTGTCGCCCTTCCTCCACTGGCGTCAGCTGCGCCTATGGGAGAGCTTGAATCCACCTATTCGTAGGATTAGGCCCGAGCTCATAACCTTAATCGTGTTTGGTTTTTCACCGTTTCTTCAAGTCAGGTGCTTCCAGCTCGCACCTTGCTGAACGTCCCCAACCCGGGAAAAGTACTGCAGTTAATGCAGAAACAGGATTGTCACTCTGGCCCCTCTCCTCTCTCTTCTAGGGTCCTTTTCCCACCTTGTAGCTTGCTTTGAGGGTAAAAAGAACAGGAGGGTGTGCAGGCAAGCATTTAGGAAGAAATGGTGGTTTTAGATGATTAGATAATTCTTGGAAATGTAGAAGATTTTCACCTTTTGGTCATATTAGAAATGCAGTTTTTATTACTGCAGCTACCGGTTATACTTCAAAATTAGCTCTCCTCCATTACATGCTCAATTCCATCAAGGAATTTTCTTCTTGATACATTTGCCCCTCAAATTCAGCCTCCAGTTTCCGACTTTTCTTCCTTTCTCCTCTAACATTCTGCCTGACCCTGCTGTGGTCGTTCAGTCTAGAGTGTACTGAATCATACTGTATGCCAGGAACGTTTTCAAGTATCTAGAATGAATTAGGCTTCTGCCTGGTGAGCTCATGTTTTATCATCCTTTTTCCCGCTCTGGAATTTAAGCAATAGATTTCAGGAGGTTGACCTAATTTGCCCTAGATCACTTACAAAGGTTTCTTCTCCAGACCTCCCCATGGCCCTATTGAGTGAGTACAGTTGTTCTGGTTATCCAGAGGGGATTGGCTCCAGAACGTCTCCTCCATCCCCCATACTGAAATCTCTGGATGATCAAGTCTTTCATATAAAGTGTCTTCGTAGTTGCATATAAGCACACAATTAATCTCTAGGTTACTTAATATCTAATACAATGTAAACACTTTGTAAATAGTTGTATTGCTTGGTGAATACTGAAAAAAGTCTGAACATGTTTCATGTAACTGCAACCATTGTAGGCCTGAATGCATAGTATCCAATGGGTAGTTGGTTGAATCCATGGATGAAGAGTCCAGAGATAGGGAAGTCTGGCTGTATTTTAATTGTCTTCTGTGTCTGACTTCAATTTGCCTTTCTTTAGTGTCACTCTAGTATCGGTCTACCTATAAAATCAAGAGAAAAAGTTACACAACATTCACACAAGAATTTTTGTGGCTTTTGAAGGGGACTGGTAGTATTTAGGTGTACTCTTTAAATCAGATTATATGGCAAGTTTTTTAAAGGCTTAGAAAAACCTTGAAAATTAAGCGTGTCCTGAAAAAGCCAAGTTCTAATACTGCCATCCATACTCCTCCAAGGAAAATGCAGTCATTTATAGGTAATTGTTCTATCAAATTTAGCTTTCAAAAGTTGCTATTTGTTCATAAAGATGTTGACTAATGACAAAATTTCAAGATCCTGATATTGTAGATCATGTAGATATACTAAATCAATTGGCCAAGAAAATGGATTGGCATCATTTAAATTTGTTACCATTGAGGTGATTGTAACTTTATTGTCATCAAAAGATTTCATACTTCTGTGTACACACATTGAAAAAAATGTATGAAATACTGACGATTAATGTCTCCTGAAGTCTGTCATCTGCTCTTTATATGCATCATCCTTAATTGCACAATTAGTGAGTCCTAGGACTATAAAGTTGTTGCTCATCATTAAAATCACAAATTTGGCTTAAAAAGTAAATACAAATTTCTTACCATTGGTAAGAGAATAGAAAACAGAAAGCTCTTGGTACTTTTATAATTGAGGAAATGGTGAATGAAAAGCCTCATTAATAAAAGTAATTGATGGATAAGGAGAAAGAGAATAAAAGCAAACACTAAGCACTTAACATAAAGTAAAGCAGATACAATAAATTCTATTATATCTTTTAATACCTATTTTAAGTTCTATAGAGATTCATAGTGTACCGTTCACTCAAGATTTTTGAGAGAATCAGTTGAGGTGAATAGTAACATTCTGTAAATTGCTGTGTTTGTTACTTTTTTCTCATTGCTGGGCCAAAATACCCACACCCAAAATTAAGGATTTATTTAACTTACAGTTTTGGGAGGTTTCAGTCATAATCAGCTGGCTGCAAGGCAGGGTGCATAGCACTGGGGCAACACTTCAAGGCAGCAGCCAGAACAAAAGGGGAGAACCAGCGTCTTCTCCTCCCTTATATTGTATACAGGCCACCTCTCCATTCCCCTCACCCCCAACCTTCCGGGTAGAATTTAGCAATCCCACCACCCCTGTGCCCTCCTTTTGCACAGGTTGTGGATATTTACAAAGTGAGAAACTTTCCCTGCTGAGTTCCTTAGTTAAACTTTTAAACTTCTCAAGTTGACACAATGTGTCCACCATAGCAATTGCTTTGTTTCCTATTCATATCTGATGTGTCTGCTTTCCCGCTGCATTTTATTCTTTAGGCTGGGTAGTGCCTAATAAGAGGTAAACTTCTATAAAGGAAATAGTTTTTTCCCCCCATTTCTTTTTCCAGTGATATGATGGATGATATTTTTTTAAAAAACCCTGATGAAAAATATCTAGTACAATTCTCCTTCATCCCATCAAAACATGTAACCAAGGCCACAAGAAAGCAACAGACATGTGGTAGGAGGCAGTGAGTAATGTAAGGATAAAAACTAAAAACTAAGATAAGTATAAGGTGACTCCATAGCTGTCTTAAGGACATTTACAGAAGTGAAAGAACCTTAGGGTTAATAGCTGCTCAGCAAAATGGAAATAAAATTCATGCCAACTAGGGTGACAGGGGCAGTAGTGGTAGAGGATATTGCCAGAAACCCCTGAATAATGTTCTTGAATCTAAAAGGTAAAATACAGTTTGTCCACTGGCAAAGAGCTAAGTTAGTCTTGTCTGTCTTGGCCTTAGTACTACATAGGAAGAAAAAGTATTCCCTGAGAATTCATAACTATGGTCTATCCTCATGCACACTTAGAGTTTAGTTTTATTCTACTTACAGAGTCTGAATAACTGTATCTGAAAAATTAACAAAATAGTTGTGACTGAGCAGTGTATGCCAATATCTGATAGAAGAAAATACATTTTCTGCAGAGGAAAGTCTCAATCCAGGTCCCTGGGGATTCCTGTACCCTTGAGAACAACCAACCAACCATAAGATCATAATGAATGTGACAAGCTGAAAAAAACCCCATATGTATATGTGTATGTATGTGTATATAAAAATAGTTAAGATAGTTATACCACTAATTTCTGTGAGTTCGCTAAAGAAAAAGATTTGTATTGGTATTGTTCAGACAACTGAAAGCAGATATCTTGTGCTCTGGGTGAGTGATTTGGGGATGACAATGTGCAATGTATGTGTATGTACCATTGTTACTCTCAATTGACATGCTTTGAAATGTTTTTGTCATTTTATTATCTTCTTTTTTCACTCTTTTTATGTTTGAATAAAATAAATTTAAAAATCATAATGAACCAATATAGTGCAAATGGACATACTTCCAAAATTGTTGTACAGATTCAGTGCAATCCTGATCAAAATTCCAAAGATATATCTCACAGAATTAAAGAAAACAATGCTACAATTTATCTGGAACCAGAAGAGACCTAGAATAGCAAAAGCAATCCTGGGCAAAAAGACAAGACAAGCTGCATCACAATCTCTGTCCTGACATTATATTATAAAGCTACTATGATAAAAACAGTGTGGTACTAGCAAAAAAAAAAAAAAAAACCAACCCAAAGATCAATGAAATAGATTATAAGATGCAAAAACAGCTTCATTCACCTCATCTTTGACAAATGGAAGAAAGATAGCTTCTTTAGTAAATGGTGCTGGAAAACTGGCTCTGTGCATGCTGAAGATTAAAGTTGGACCCATATCTTTCACCGTGCACTAAACTAAATTCAGAATGGATCAAAGATCTTAATATTAAGGCAGAAATATTAAACCTGCTGGAAAATAGAGTAGATAAAATCTTGAAGACACTGGTTTAGGCAAAGACTTTATAAACAAAACCCAGATTGCACAGAAACTATCACAAAGAATCAACAACTGGGTCTTACCCTAATGAAAAGCTTTTACACAGCAAGAAAAACCACCAACAGAGTGAAGAGACAACCAACAGCGTGGGATAAAATGTTTGCCAGGTGTTCCTCAGACAAAGTATTACTATGAGGAACATATAAAGAACTCAGAAAAATCAGTCCTCCCAGAGTTAAAGGCCCAATCCAAAAATGGGCATCTGAGATGAGTATACACTTCTCAGATGAAGAAATACAGACAGCAAGTAAACATGTGAAGATGTTCAGCATCACTGGTCAATTCGAGAGATGCAAATTAAAATAACGCTGAGATTCCAGGCACCCAAGAAAGTATGGCTAGTATCAAGAAATTAACCAGTAACAAATGCTCGAGGGGCTGTGGGAAAAAAAGGAACTCTTCTCCACTGTTGGTGGGATCTACTGGTACAACCACTGTGGAAATCAGTGTGGAGATTCTTTAAAAAAACTAGGACTAGGGTTTCCATTTGACCCAGCTATTCCCCTTCTGGGTATCTTCCCAAAAG